CTCACTGCAAGCTCTGCCTCCCAGGTTCATGCCATTCTGCCGCCTCAGCCTCCCAAGTAGCTGGGACTACAGGCATCTGCCACCACACCCAGCTAATGTTTTGTATTTTTCGTAGAGATGGGGTTTCACCGTGTTTGCCAGGATGGTCTCGATCTCCTGACCTTGTGATCCACCCGCCTTGGCCTCCCAAAGTGCTGGGATTACAGGTGTAAGCCAATGCACCTGGCCCACCATATCCACTTCTAAGTTAAATGTATTCCTTTCTAAGTTATATGTATACCTAAGTTATATATGCAAGAAATAACCACTCATTGAAAAGCTTGCTGAAAAGTGCGGTGGCATTTTCCTACTGGAAGCATAGCAAGAGCTTCAGAGACTTCAGGGAGGAAGAAAAAGGAGACATTGATAAATGTGGCATTCCTTTCCTTTAGTTGTCTGTGATTGTTCAAAACCCCGGATCAGACTAACCGCTTCCAGTTCCGATACCCCATGAAGACCCAGTCTGGGCCATAGGTGTGTGTGGTTGAAACTGAAGACGCACCTCTGTTGGCACATGGCCTTGATAAGGGGCGTGTAGGGTGTGCTCAGCAGAGACAGAGCCAGATACAGAACAGAGTGACTGAGTGGTGCCAAGTTGGATCATACTGTGGAATTTTAGAAATGGAATATTGAGCCACCATCTCAGGAAGCTCCTAGTGGAAATCCATCAAACCTTACCTAACTCCGTGGTTGTGTTCAAGGTACCAGAACTGTGGTCACCTACACAGCTTGGCTGATACTGATGTCAGTGTGTCAGGTGATGTGGGCACACTCCCTATCGTCGTGTCCTCAAACTGGACCCCCCTGCTGAAAGGTTAACTGATCTTCTACAAGACAGGAAAACGCCTCTGGGTGAACATGACCTGACTAGGGATCCCAGAGCAGGGATTACCCGGCCTGTCTGCCAGTGACCCATTTCTGCCGTCTTTCTCTCTGACGTGCAATTACACCCTCCTTTTTCCTTGGTTCTTGTAACTGAACAGCCACTTTACAATGATTTTGCAAAGCCTAGAGAATTGCAACATTTGTGTGAGGCATTATCTCACATTCAGATCATTGCTGGCTGCGAAATAAATAAAGCATGCTCATGGTTCCCCTGGAAGCTTCAGGTTTTTAGCAGTATGTGGCCTAGGTCTCTCTCTAACCCTTAGATAAACACAGAATGGCTCACTTCCTGCAGGTTCTAAGGCACAGAGCCAGCCCAGGCTGTAAGGCAGTCAGCCCTTAGCTCAATTCTTTACGGTTTTACTGCTATGGGATATATTGGGGGCCCAGTATAAAGCAAAGCTGGAAGCAGGGATGATCCGTGTATTTGTGGGGGTAGGACGTGGACAGGGAAATAGTGTTCCAACTCCATGCTCAGTGTTGTTTTGAATTATAATGTGAAGTTGCCACCATACCAGGGCTATGACTGTGTGCGATGTCTCACCCTTTCAGGAAAAGATGACAGGGCCACTTATCCAGGGCATTCAGGCAATAAAGTCCCTGAGCTCCAAGTTGCTAGATCTAAGGAAGTATTTTTTCCTTCACGTCAAAGATGGGGTGTGAGTACTGTCATCAAGCAGGAGGATTAAATGAGATAGTACCTCTGCCATTTTTGAAAACCAGTGGAATATACTTTGCGAGATGCAGAAAATACATAGGAGAATGGCTCTATTGCACTTACAAAGTGAAATATATTTATAATAGATCTCCAGTGTATTTTTTTAATATTTCAACATGACATAGTACATAGAGCTTGGCTAATTCCATGAAACAATGTAGTCAGAGCCTAAAAGAATGTTATATTCTGAAATTTCAGTGTTCTGTTCTTACACTGTTGTAATTCATTTTAGAACATATTCAGTTTTATTTTAGAGAAGAATCACTGGCATTTTAAGAAAAGGAGATAAATATTTGATGAAACTGGCAAGTTTTTAACAGAATCTTCCACAGTGGTGATGTTGGATTTTTAAATTCAGGTTTTTAAAATTAGCACCAAGTTTTCCAAGTCAGCTCTGAAAGGATTGTAACTCACAGTAGCATGTCCCCAGCCCACCTCTTCAGCGCTGCTCACTTCCACCCTGTCCCTTTCCTGCTCTCAGAGACACCCCCAACTCTTGATGGATTGTGACTATGATACTCTGACACCGAGCCCTGATTCCCTTCCTTTCTCAAACAGCTTTGGTTTTGCCTGGACTTAATAATTGACTCAATGATCATTTTTCTTAGCCTTCTGGGTACTAAGTTATTCCCACATTTTCCCTGCGTGGTGTAAATCTCTTTCCAAGTATTCAAGCACACTAGGTAGTTAGCATCTCTCAGAGCCTTTTTCTCCCTGCTCCAGGGAAGATCAACTGACCTGTGGGCCTACCACAGCTTTCACCTCCGCCCCAGAGCTTTCCCTGGCTTTTGTCTTGTGCTTCACCCACGCCTTGCTCTTTTCCACTCCATGACTCGCTTGCCTTGGCAGAGCAACCCTCACCAATAGCTTCTTGAAAAAGTGTGCATGGGAGGTAAAACTTTTGAGGCCTTAAATATCGAAAATATTTTTCTTTTAAACACACTTGAGTGATAGTTTGGTTTAGAGTTCTAGGGTAGAAATCATCTTCCTTCGAAACTTACTGCTCCTTGTCTTCTAGCTTTCAGTGCTACTGAGAAGCCCGAGGCCGGAAGCCCATAGGAAGCTGTGTCCCCCAATAGTGTTCGGTGACGTGCCCTGATGGGGCTTTTCCCATGCACTGCACCACCTCCCACGATGGGCCCTTTCAGTTCTGAAACTGGTATCTTTCAGTCTCAGACGTACGCTGTCGCCTCTTTCTGGAAATCCTGTTATTTGGGTGTTGGACTTTGTTTCTTTAACTCTTCTCCTGTGCTTCATTTGCACGCCTTCAGCCTTCTGCTCTGTCTCCGTGGTAGGCTTCCCTAAACTTATCTCACTGTTAACTTGTGAATTTTCCTTTCTGCTTTTATCTTTTTTGTTCTGTGAATGTCTTTTTTTTGGGGGGTGGGGGGGATGGAGTTTCACTTTTGTTGCCCAGGCTGGAGTGCAGTGGCGCCATCTCAGCTCACCACAACCTCCGTTTCCCGGGTTCAAGCAATTCTGCCTCAGCCTCCCAAGTAGCTGGGATTACAGACATGCACCGCCATGCCCAGTTAATTTTGTATTTTTAGTGGAAACAGGGTTTCTCCATGTTGGCCAGGCTGGTGCTGAACTCTTGACATCAGGTGATCCACCCGCCTCGGCCTCCCAAACTGCCGGGATTACAGCCATGAGCCACAGCGTCCGGCGTGAATGTCTTTTTTATAACATTCTCCTTCTGTTCTTGTTTTGTGGGCGCAGTGGCTTCTCCCATCTCTCTGGGGATGTCAGTGGAGGAAAGTTTTATTTTTTTTTCCCCCTCTCTCTCCCTGTATTGTCTTTGTTTCCTCTTAAGTTGCAGTTTTTTCCATAGTTTTGGTCTCCGCACATTGGAGGCCTCTGTCAAAGCGTGCTTCTCCCTGGTTGCCTGCTCATTTTGATAAGCGGGGCTCTGGTGACTAGCTGTAGTAACTTTGCCCTCAGCCATGCCAGGCGCCCCCCACCCCACCCATTTTACCTTATCCGGAGACTAGGAGTTGATTGGAAGCTGTGAACACCAGGATGAGGTTTCTCACCTGCGAGGGCCTCACTGATGGCTGCTCCAGTGTGGCTGCTTCATTGGGAGACTCTAATTTTCAGGAACTTGACGTCTTTTCTCTTGGGCTGGTCAGATTCCTCAGAGACCATTTCCGGTCTCCTACCTGGGAAGGCCTCAACTAGTTCCCCATGTTCTGGGAGCATAGAAGAGGAAGGAAGCCCGAACATGCAAATGCCATCCTTCTCTTAATCCCCCCGTTTTCCATATACAGATTAAGTATGCCTAATCCAAAAATGGAAAATCCAATTTTTTTATTTTTGAGCAGACATGACTCTCAACATAAATGTTTATTGGAGCATTCTGGACTTTGTATTTGGGGATTAGGGATGCGTAACCTGTAAGTATAATGCAAATATTCTAAAATCTGAAAACTTCAGAGTCCAGAACACTTTTGGTTCCAAGCATTTCAGATAAGGGTCACTCAACCTGTAGTAACTCTGCCCTGGGCCATGCCACGTACTCCTCTGTTTTACCTCATCCAGAGACTAAACTCCTGTTTCCTGTCAAATTCGGGGAGATGTAGTCACCAGCTGTGCAAGGGGAGCTGTGGATGGATTGCTTGCTAACCTGACTTCCAGCCATCCTGCTCTGGACCCCGCCTTCACCCCGTCTCCGGAAGGACCTGTGCCTCACTTCCTGATCTGCGGGGAAGGGAGGTGGGGAGAGAGCTCCACTTTCCCCACTGGGTTCAGGATTCCCTTTTCCTGCATCTATTACATCAGTTTACCACCTCCCATCTGCTTTCCAGAGTTCCAATTCTGTTGCTGTCTCATCTCTTATTCTTGTAACTAGACTTTAAAAGGTTCATAGGCTGATCCTTACTCTAAACACTAACATTTCCCTTTTCATTATGTGTGCTGATTCTGTGTGGTTCTGTACACATCCAAGAACTTCCAGGTCTTTTTTTTTATTTGTTAAAGCTGTAAACATTATATGAATAAACATGTCCAGGCGGAACTGGCCGAGCTGTGTGGCAATCTCCTTAAGCCTCGCCCCAAAGCACATTGGTTCTGAACGGGCCTGCTCACCCATTCAGAAATCAACGACCCACTCTTGGAGGAGCCACATCTGCTCTGCCATGGGAGTCCCCTGGGTACAGCCATGGCTAATGGACCAGGGCCTCTGTGGTCAGGAGACAGCCAAGCAGGCAGGTGGCAGATCTGGGACCAGCATGCCCGCCACCCAGTCGGGCCAGTTGTCCCCCTTTCGTAACTCTCCAAGGATTGTGCCACACCTGACCTGTTCATTTCACTCACTTCCACCTTTTTCCTCACAACCCTGTTCGATGTCTTTCTCCCCCAGCTCTGTTTCGTGATGTTTTGGACACCCAACGTGTCCGAGAAAATCTTGATAGACATCATTGGAGTGGATTTTGCCTTTGCAGAGCTCTGTGTTGTTCCTTTGCGGATCTTCTCCTTCTTCCCAGTTCCAGGTAAAGAAAAACAGAATGAAAGAAACATTCTTGTTTATCCTCATGCCTAATTAAATCATTCTTTGGAAATGTTTGCAATCATGTCACCAACACAAGTGTAAAATTTCATTGTGGCTTAGAAAGATGCAAAAACATTAGCCAGTAAGGTGAAAGTTCAAGAAATGAATCAATAGGTATAACTTGTTTTTATATATTTTTTATTTATATATTTATATATAATTATATTTATATTTATATTTATGTTTATATATTTATATATATATATATATATTTTTTTTTTTTGGAGACAGAGTCTCTGTCTGGAATGCAGACTGGAATGCAGTAGCACAATCTCGGCTCACTGCGACCTCTGCCTCCCGGGTTCAAGCACTTCTCCTGTTCAGCCTCCCAAGTAGCTGGGACTACAGGTGCCTACCACCACACCCAGCTAATATTTGTATTTTTAGTAGAGATGGGGTTTCACCATGTTGTCCAGGCTTGTCTCGAACTCCTGGCCTCAAGTGCTCCTCTTTGGCGTCCCAAAGTGCTGGGATTACAGGCGTGAGCCACTGCACCTGGCCGTATAACTTGTTTTTAAAAGTGCAGTGATTGCAAAAACAGTAAAAAGAAAGTAGACCCAAAAGGATAGCATGTGGAGTTTTGGAGACAATAAAACTGCCCTCTGTCTTGATTGTGGTGGTGGTTACACAAATGTGTTCATGTATTAAAATTCTCAGAACTGTGCACCAAAAAGCCAGTTTTACAATACGTTAATTTAAAAAGTGAAATGAAAAAAAGAAAAATAGAGTGAGCTTATTGCTAAAGCCTGGAGATATACAAAGACAGAGAAGGACTGCTGGAGAAAGGAAGATTCCAGGGCAACCTGAGGCCAGATGATGGATGGTCAGAAAGGAAACTGCTCATGGCTGAGACAAAAGCCAGTTGGAAAGTTATTACACCAAGCCGATATAGTGGTGTGAGGTGTACCAGACAAGAATGAGGTCGTTCTAAATTAAATGAGAAGAGCAGGTTGCAGAATGGTTGATTAGTATGCAACCATTTCCATAGCAAATATGTAGCACATGTATGTCTGTATTGTTATATGGATGTGCTAAGTGCTTGCACAGCTACATTCTTTTTCTGTAAGTAACTCACCAGGCTGCTAACAGTAGTTGCCTGTGGGAAGCAGGACAAGGGCCTGGGAAGTCACCACTGGGAAGAAGACCTTTGTACTCTATTCCCTTTTGTACCTTTTAAATTCTGTACCAGGTGTGTCACCTAGTCAAAAATCAGTTTCCCCAAAAGATCCACTTAAATCATTAAACTGGGAAGCCAGAATCTACAAAGCCACATGTTAAGAAAGGAGCCATGGGCCGGGCACAGTGGCTCATGCCTATAATTCCAGCACTTTGGGAATCCGAGGCAGGTGGATCATCTGAGGTCAGGAGTTCGAGACCAGCCTGACCAACATGGTGAAACCCCATCTCCGCTAAATACAAAAAATTAGCCGGGCATGGTGGCACGTGCCTGTAATCCCAGCTACTCAGGAGGCTGAGGCAGGAGAATCGCTTGAACCCAGGAGGCGGAGGTTGCAGTGAGCTGAGATTGTGCCACTGCACTCCAGCCCATGCAATAAGAGTGAAACTCCGTCTCAAAAAGAAAGAAAAAAAGAGAAAAAGAAAGGAGCCACGGAGCCCAGGTAGGCCAGGGCTGATGGAGCAGCCCTTGTTCCAAGGCCTTGCGGCATCACTTTCTGGGCTGTGGCAGAAATGGAGAAGTGGCTGGAAGATCACAGCACCGGGATGGCGTCTGGACTTGGGTAGCCACAGGGTGAACCAAGCTGGGGAAGGTGTCACCATCCAGAAGGAGCTGCACTCGCAGATTGAGACACATGCAGCTAATTTCCTATGGTAGTGACCAGAGGAGGGGCCTGGAGCACCCCAGCTGGGAGCAGGCTATAGCTGGGTATGCGATTCACCTTCAATCTCCATTTGACTCCACTTTCTTGTCTGTAAGATGAGGGGATTCCAGACAGCTGCCAGGCCCTGCCACTCTTTGCAATTTGTTGGATTTGGGCTACCCAGTTTAGCATATGCCTGGGCCCGACTCTCTCCTTTGGTCAAAAACCTCAGTGGGTCTGTCTGCCTAAGAGAAGAAAATTAGCCTTGTTAGTATTAATATAAGGCGTCCAGCCAGAGGAAGGCAGGACATATAATGTTAGACCAAGAAGATGGCAGAGGCTTCCTTCCAAACCAGCAATCCTGGAAAGGAATTTTTATCCCAGGAATGAGCACTTCCTCCTCCAAGGGCCGTTGCCTGGTGCTGTCCACAGGGAGGTGACGGGCCCCCGTCTTCAAGGAGCAGGCCCTGCCCTGCGCTTCCTCAAGCCTTTCCAGTTTCAGATGGAATCTAGATGCTCAGGGACCTTCCTACTGACAAGGGCAAGCCCGTGCTCTCCACAGTTCCCCGCTGTCCACCCACGGCCCTCCTGCAGCTCAGAGATCCAGTGAGGAGGCAGGCACGGGGAGGCCACGCAGCCTGTGGTGCAATGGCAGCGCACCGAGGGCCACAGCATTAGGAGAGGGAGAAAGGGAAGTGACCTCGGTGGAAGTGGTCAGGACCAGCTCAGGGAGGGAACAAAGGGAAGTGGGGACGTGCAGCTTCCTCCTCCTCCCCCACTGCTCTGGTCTCCATACCTCTGACCGCAGGCAGGGAAGATGACTTCTGGTGCCAGCTTTTCTGCTCACCCAGCGTCACACCAGAGTGCCGTCATATTGCCACTCTTCTCTGAGTGTTCCCTTCTAGAGGTGGATGATCGAGGGTGAGGCTGGGCAAGTGTGGGGACAGGACTGGACAGGAGCAGCTAGGCTGCCTGGAAGATGTGGTCCCAGTGGAGCAAGGAGCCTGCCGGTCCCCAGCCGTTTAGACCCAAAGGGCTGTGAGGAGGTGGGGACCCGAGGCGGGCCTAGGCTCAGGAGCAGGGATGGGGAGCCCTGGCAGGAAGACGGGGTGGCCAGAGGCTCAGCAGCAAGACCAGGGTCCCAGGCAGCCTCTGGCTCTTGGACGTGCTGCCCTGGTCCAGAGGATGGGGAGGGGACGCGGGCACGCCTGACGAGTCCTTTGCTCCTCCCCACAGTCACAGTGAGGGCGCATCTCACTGGGTGGCTCATGACGCTGAAGAAAACCTTCGTCCTGGCCCCCAGCTCTGTGCTGCGGATCATCGTCCTCATCGCCAGCCTCGTGGTCCTGCCCTACCTGGGGTATGTCGTCAGGGAGTTTGGGGCTGTGGGTCCTTCTGCCCCTTCAATACTGTGTCCAGAGGTTTAAGATCTACATTTCCACGGGAAATCCCTAGGCATGTCTAGAATCGGAAATTCAGAATGATGTTTTGTGTGTCTGCCCAGGCACCAGGTGGAGGCTCTTGGGATCCATTCTAGAAAAGGGCTTTTGGGGTCAGGCCCAGACACGAGTAAGAGCCACTGAGCTCCTGTTGGGGTGTGGCTGGCCCTGCACGGGCTCGAGCGTATGCTGGACGTGAAAACCAGAAGAGGAGGATATGGTCCCCGCGCTCAGGGAGCTCCCAGTGTCCTGGGAGGGTAGGAAGGGCTGTGGGGTCCGTGTGCTGCGGGAGGGAGGCGGCCCAACCCTGAGTTCCCAGTTCCCCTCACACATTAGGTTATTAGCTGCGCCCTTACGAAGCCAACAGATGGAGAACACCGCTGGTCTCAGCCATCTCGAGGCTACACTTAACTTTCCTGGGTTTTGGTATGGACGGTTGTGCCTTGACTTGGCCTTAACAGACAAATCGCCTTTGTGTTCTCATCTGCAGGGTGCACGGTGCAACCCTGGGTGTGGGCTCCCTCCTGGCGGGCTTTGTGGGAGAATCCACCATGGTCGCCATCGCCGCGTGCTATGTCTACCGGAAGCAGGTGAGACAGCCACGCCGGAAGCCTCCTCCCGGGTGCATCCTGCTGGGTGCAGGAGAACCTGAGCAGCCGCTGACCAGAGTTGGATGGTGGCACTCATCAGTGGGGGATCCTTGGTGACCTTGCCCAGTCTCGTGGCTTAGGGTGGCTGGAAGCCTAATGGGAGTGGGGTAAGAGAAAAGGGGAAAAGCTGAAGGCAGCAAGTAGAGACAGTCTCTTTGAAGAGTTTTGCTCCAAAGGAGAGAGAGGTGTGGACATGGATTTCAGAAAGCCAGCAAAGATGGGGCAAAGTTCAGCCTATGGCTTGCTTCGGGGGAATGACCCACAGACAGGCGATGCTGCCGATGGGAGAGGGACAGTGATACAAATGTGTCTGTGCACACGAGGACCAGGCAGCCCAAGACAGGAGCTCGGGCGGCCTCTCTGGTCACGGGTGGAGCAGAGATGCAGTCCAAGAGGTTGCGCAAGGGCCTTTCTGATCGCTTTTGTTTTTCTCAGTGAAGTAGGAAGCCAGATCATCGTCAGAAAAGGGAGGTGTTGGAGGGTGGAAGAACGAGGACACATGGGTGGGGAAGCAGTTGGTCAGGAGAATGGCAGAGTGAACAGGCCGGGACAGCAGAGTGACGGCCAGGCCACTCAGAGGGCCTGCTCACGGTGCGTGACGCGCATCTCAGGACACTGGCTGTCCCCTGCTGTTGGGTTTCCCCAGCCATGGCAGCTGGGTGGTGTGGGCTGAGATGGGAGAGATCTGAACCTCAGCACAGGTGGGGCTTTGCCTGGCAAATATGATGGAAGAAAAGCAGGATAGGGAAATGATGGCCATTACTGAGCATGTCATGTAAGCTGAGGAAAGAGCAGAGGGAGGACATCGAGAAGGTGGCCACAGTGAAGGGCTGGTGGGATCCGTGGATGGGGGACCAGCAGGGTTGGCAGACAGAGGACAGTGTCTTTGCCTTGGCCTGTTGGTGGTGCCCAACATGTCGATAATGGCAAGGTCTGCAGTGACCCAGGAGTGGTTGAGGTGAGCTGGGGCTGTGAACCTGATCCCTGAGAGGCCATTTATTGTAAGAACAGGCAACATGGCAGGGAAGTGACCAGGAATTAGGACAGGCAGTAAGTGGGAGAGAATGACAGCAAGCCTGGAGCTGTCCCAGAGGTGACTGACGGAGGCTGTACAAGGTGCAATATTCTGATAACGTGAGGTTCCAAGCTTGAGGCTTTAGGGAGGAGGAAGGAAAAGAAGTCTGCAGGTGACTGTGAGGAGTCGGGGAGAGCACAGCCCTCATTGGAAAGGGCAGCAGGGGGTGGGTTGTCTGCGGCAGGGCAGTGGGACACAGTGTCCTCCAAAGTGCCTGCCTAGCTCAGTGGCAGGCGCACAGACACGAAACTGCAAGGAACACGCTGAACTAAGATGCAGAAGAGGTGAGGCCACCCCAACCATAAGAAGGTTTAAGCCTACAGCGGGGGGTCCCCCCAAGACCCTGGTGGTGTCTCCCTGCTCGTGGTTCTGCTGTGCAGTGTCCCTGTCCACAGCCCCACACTGATGAGTCTTTTTTGGTCTAGAAAAAGAAGATGGAGAACGAGTCGGCCACGGAGGGGGAAGACTCCGCCATGACGGACATGCCTCCGACAGAGGAGGTGACAGACATCGTGGAAATGAGAGAGGAGAATGAATAAGGCACGGGACGCCATGGGCACTGCAGGGACAGTCAGGATGACACTTCGGCATCATCTCTTCCCTCTCCCATCGTATTTTGTTCCCTTTTTTGTTTGTTTTGTTTTGGTGATGAAAGAGGCCTTGATTTAAAGGTTTCGTGTCAATTCTCTAGCATACTGAGTATGCTCACACTGACGGGGGGACCTGGTGAATGGTCTTCACTGTTGCTATGTAAAAACAAGCGCAACTGACTTCATGCCCTGCCTCACGAAAACCCAGAAGACACAGCTGCCTCACGCTCGACGGTGTGTCCTCCTCCCCTGGACAATCTCCTCTTGGAACCAAAGGACTGCAGCTGTGCCGTCGCCTCTCGGGCACCCCGCACAGCAGGCCACAGACTCTCCTGTGCCCCTTCATCGCTCTTAAGAATCAACAGGTTAAAACTCGGCTTCCTTTGATTTGCTTCCCAGTCACATGGCCGTACAAAGAGATGGAGCCCCGGTGGCCTCTTAAATGTCCCTTCCGCCATGGAGTTCAAACCCATCTACTCCACACGTGCAGGAGGCGGGCGGCAGGCTGCAGCCCGGAGTCCCCGTTCACACTGAGGAACAGGGAGACCTGTGACCACAGCGGGCTGACAGACGGACATAATCTCCCGTAGAAAGGTTGGAAATGCCCCGGGGACAGCAAACTGACACGGTTGAATGATAGCATATCACTCTGTGTTCTCCTAGATCCGAGCGAGCTGTCAGTTCTCACCCCCACCATGTATATACATGAGCTAACTCTTTTAAGTTGTCACAAAAGCGCATCTCCGGTTTCCAGCCCCTGCCGCATGACTTTCCCTGAAGGCTTGCTTTTCCCTCGCCTTTCCTGAAGGTCGCACTAGAGCGAGTCACATGGAGCGTTCTAACTTTGCATTTTAGTTTTTCCAGTGAACTGAAGCTTTAAGTCTCATCCAGCATTCTAATTCCAGGTTGCTGTAGGGTAACTTTTGAAGTAGATGTATTACCTGGTTCTGCCATCCTTAAGTCGTAACTCTGCGGTACAGGTAATTCAGAATGTACTACGGTACTTCCCTCCCACACCATACGATAAAGCAAGACATTTTATGATGATACCAGAGTCACTATGTGGTCCTCCCCGAAATAACACATTCGAAATCCATGCAGCGCAGTATATTTTTCTAAGTTTTGGAAAGCAGGTTTTTTCCTTTAAAAAATTATAGACACAGTTCACTAAATTGTTGATTTAGTCAAAATTCCTAGACTGAAAGAACCTAAACAAAAAAATATTTTAAAGATATAAATATATGCTGTATATGTTATGTAATTTATTTTAGGCTATAATACATTTCCTATTTTCGCATTTTCAATAAAATGTCTCTAATACAATACGGTGATTGCTTGTGGGCTCAACATACCTGCAGTTGAAACGTATTGTATCAATGAACATTGTACCTTATTTGCAGCAGTTTTATAAAGTCCGTCATTTGCATTTGAATGTAAGGCTCAGTAAATGACAGAACTATTTTTCATTATGGGTAACTGGGGAATAAACGGGTCACTGGAATAGGAATAGAAGTGTAAGCTGGAAGGGCAAAAATGAGAAAGAAAAAGGTAGGCCCTTTGTGTCTACCATTTTCAGTGCTGTGTGATCATACTGTTCCTCATAGCAAAAAAGAATGCAAGGGCATGAAGTTAGCCGTGGGCATGCCAGGGTTGCATTCACATTCCTGGGTACCCAGTGCCGACGGGGTGTGCCCACATGGGGACATGTCCTTGGTGTGCTTCCTCAGAGTGGCTTTTCCTCCATTAATATATATATGAGTGCTGAAAACTTAAGTTGCATAGCTGCTTTGCAGTGGTTTCAGAGGCAGATCTGAGAAGATAAAACTCAATGTATCAGCTTTTTTTAAAGGACATTACTAGAAAATTAAACAGCAGTATTTTTTAACATGTGTGACTCTTTCATGATTCTGGGGTTGGAGCTTAAAGATCCAAATTGAGAAAGCAGGCCAGGCACAGTGGCTCATGCCTGTAATCCCAGCACTTTGGAAGGCCGGGGGGGGGGGGGGGGGGGGAGAGGTGGATCACTTAAGGTCAGGAGTTCGAGACCAGCCTGGCCAACATGGCAAAACAACGTCTCTACTAAAAATATAAAAATTAGCTGGGCACGGTGGCATATGCCTGTAATCCCAGCTATTCAGGAGGCTGAGACAGGAGAATCGCTTGATCCCGGAAGGCAGAGGTTGCAGTGAGCTGAGATAGCGCCATTGCACTCTAGCCTGGGTGACAAGAGCAAAACTTCGTCCCCCCCCGCCAAAAAAAGAAAGCGAATCCTTTCCCTCTAAATCCAGGAAGGATCAGCAAGGGCCTCCTCATTATGATATAAGGAAATAAGGAAATATAACTCCAGAGATCCCTTCAGGGATCAAGATCAGTGGGCCATAATATTTGGTTAGAGTTTCTGAGAACACAGGAAGCAGTGCCACACTCAGGCCACCACAATGGAGCTGATTTGGCAGGACTTGTCCAAACCGTTCACCTTAAAGCATGTGATCCTTCTTCATACATTTTCTTCACTTGGGCTGCTTAAGTCACAGCCTAACAACTTCTGAGGCAAAAACTGAGAATTGGCATATTCTCCTGCGTTTGTTCTAACCGAGTCCCGTCATCCAGCTAGACATGAGAGGAGATCAAACCAGGGAGAGTGACCTTTCTTCTTCCCACTTTTCAGAGTCATTAGGGGCAACCTTTTGACTTTTGTGACCAAAGAAACATTCCCCCAAAACATTTTTCATTGCAGGGTATTCAGCTGACAGCTGCATTTAGAAGGGTACCATGCCTGTGAGATTCTCATGTCGAAGACCATGGAAAGACCAGGTGTGACTTTCTCCAAAATTGAGTGACTGCTTGTGGACGAATACAATCTGAAAATACAAGGCCATGAAGTAGTTTTTCATTTAGATGCTGAGAAACAGGTTTGGGCAGTTCAAAGCACAGAACATAGAGTGTGAGGGTTTTCTCTGAGCAAGCCAAGGCTAGAGCTCCTCCTTTGCTGGCCTATTTGAGGGAAACGAGGTCATCCTAAATGTGCAGTTGTCATTTGTTCTGTAGTGACTTACAGGGATCTCAGTGGCAAAGGGCGTCAGTGAGACACTCAACAATTGAGCAAAAAGAACTAGACGAGGCTTGCACTCGGAAAGTCATGGTAGGATTGGACCTGCCAGCCACATGGCTCACGGAGTATTGATGGATTTGCACATTGGCAGGAAACCCTCCCATTTGAGATTCTTCAAATGGGGTGCAGAAGGCCACTTGTTTGCATTTCTGGATAAAAACCAGTCATCCCCCATGACTGCCTGCATCGGGTTTGTCTTGTGCCAAAGTTACTCTTCCCTTGTTTTCACTTTGCCTTGATTTTTAGCATTAGCCAGTAGTTTGGCTTGGAAATGTCCTGGATAGCCGATTCCCTAAGAAACTGAAACATTTAATATTGGCTTAGGATGTATCAGAGGGGGCCAAATAAAGCTGCTTTACAATAGTAAAATCACTTTATACTTCACTCCCTCAGTCTTCCCAATAAAGAACCTTGGGAGGTACAAGGGGTGGGGGGCCCCGGATGGGGAGGCCTGGGAGCTCCCAGGGTAATGACAGAGCTGGGCCGAGTTCTCCAGACACCAGGGTGCATCGCAGCGGGGCCAGCTCAGGAGTGCTCACTCCTAGCCCTCTGGATCTCTCTCCTGGTTGGAATAATCATTACATATCATAACTCTCAGAAAATTTATTCACTTAAATCTTCAGAAGAAGAAGTGTGAAATGTTAGCAGCTCCCTGCTCTCACTTGTTCCCCATTTGGGGATCTTCTGGAGGGAAGGGGCAGGGGGAGAGTTTTCCATGCCCTTGCTTTCTAGAAACATCGATTTCCAGACTCAGTAGCTGACTGGTTTTTTTCCCCTTCAAATTGAAGTGGGAGAGTGTGTTTTGCAAAATAGCAAGTATTTATACTGTTGTAATTACACTTCCTTGAGAAATATTTTCTTGTATTTAAAAATCTTTCTACTTCAGTAACTCTCTCAGCAGAACAGTGCCCAGGACAGCATGTGCCGGTTAGTACCAGCTTTGCAGGTGAGCTGACTTCTAAACTTAGGATGACATCTTCATCAATCAGACCATTGCATGTCCAGGAAAAGGGGTCCTTTATCTTCTAAGTTCTGCTCCCCATCTTTCTTTTGGAACCAAAGTTGCAGTGGAGTGTGAGGAAGGGCTTTGAAAGATGTGGAGTGCTGAGATGTCTGCATTGCATATTCAGCCAGTTCAAAGCCAGCAGCTCCTGCCTGCATTCTGTAGACAGCGCCCTCACACACAGCCCTCTGACGGCTCTCACATAAAGCACTGGAACCGTAGGAAAGCATGTTTTTGAGCAACGTGTTTGGTAACCATTCGGGATACTCCTCTGTGTGGTTATTTTGAATCTCTATTTCTGTCATTGAAGCAGCAAAAAACATCATGTGACTCATCCACTGATCTAACCACACTTAAAACAGGATGTAGAGAAAAATCTGAAAAGAAACGTAAAAGGGCCTGTTGCCTGCCCTTTTAAAGGCACAATGTCTAAAATCATGCAAATGTTCAAAATGAGAGAAATTGCATTGTGCAATCAACCCAAACTGCACTCAGAAGTCAGAGAAGTCACAAATACATAGTATACTATCTGATCTCAAAAGGGAAAAAGGAGATTGGCGAGACCGAAAGTTTAGACTTTATTTTCTTCTCGAGGGGACATTCAATCTATTAACTTTCAACTTTCCGCTAGGAAGAGCATCAAAGGTGGGCCTCCTAAATCATTTTTGAAAAATCTTTGTCAAGTCCAAGTGGTTCCAGGAGAATTTATAGCCAGTATCTCTTAAAATATTTCATTTTAGTGATAATGGTTTTCTCAGCTTCATTTGCAAACAACCAGGATCTCTAAAAGACTGCATAAGATATATGCACTTTTATAGATGGCTGTCAGCTACACACCGATTCAGCAAATGTTTTTTATGTAGTACCTGTTTTAAGTTAGGCTATGTAACTTAAAGTGCACTTCACTAACAAGATTTGACATCAGCATCTACAATATGTATATGTAAACAAAAGCACACAAGAACTAGGCACCCTTCCTCTCTCCAAGAGTTTAAGTGGTGGTTTCCTTAGGTTAAAGAAGGGGACAGACCAGCTAAAAATGGTTGTACCACTCACTGTACAACCTCATGGAAATTCTTACTGTAAGATTTAGAGGCAACGTTCCCTAGCTATGAGCCAGGGCAAGAAACGGCACCTTTGGCGTTGGGGAACATTTGGGGAACATAACAACTAGGTAGATGCTGGTTCCCTGAAGTGTGGGGCCATAAACATGCGGGGACCCATGGTTTGAATAATCCAGCCTCTGAAAGCTAAGTTCAAACCACCCTTGCATAACAAAGGAGTACAGGGTACACATCACCACCAATCACCCAGCACCCTACAGCGTTGGTCATGTCACTATGCGGCAGGCCCCTTACCCCAGGGCTGCCACATCCACAAGCCTTGCAGTGGCAAATACACCGCTCCTTGGATGCAATGAGATATTTTGGTTGCTTAACGATGTACTGATCAGGGAACTGTCTGAAGCTAGTAGGACCAAGGAGTTAATCGAAGGGCTTCGGGAAAGTGGACAAGAGCCATGCACGCGATTCTGTTCCATGCCAACACTCATTCATTTAAGGAATGTATTCAAGCTGGAGGCTTCCATATCATTCACGCTTCTTGGCCTCACCTCGCTCATCTGTCCAATGGGAGGCTTAAGCCATTATTGCTAAGGTCCCTTCCTGGTGTAACACTCTGTGTATGATCTAGGATTTGGAACGTGGTATGAGATCCTACAATGGAAGAATAAAATTACCTCATTCTTCATTTCAGATCTGAATGTTAGCAGTCATCTAGATTTTTTTTTTTTTTAAACAAAATTAAGTGTGCTTAGAGTCATTCCTCTACATGGGCTGTGGCTGTCAGCTCATAGGTTTGTCAGTTTCACATCAAAACTGTGGGTATAAACTGTTGAAACCAATCACATTAAAATATTTAGCTGAGCACAGTGGAGTGCATCTGTAGTCCCAGCTACTCGGGAGGCTGAGGCAGGAGGATCGCTTAAGCACAGGAGTTGGAATTCAGCCTAAGCAACAGAGCAAAACCCCGTCTCTAAAATACAAATAAAATATTTGTGTAGTTTTTGATTAAAATTGACTACAGCGGTCAGTATAAAATATATGTCGCTTTTAAGGAAGTGCTGTTTATGTATCTAACAGATGGAAGTTTTTGCATTGGTAAGAGCATTTATATATGCTTTGTTTCAGGGTTTATCGATTTGTATTCATATATTGTCAAATAGGTTTCATACTCTAATTTTACTTTAAGTAAAGCTTAAACACTTGGCATACAATTGAGATTGCTTTTAGTTTCTTGATTTTTTATTCTAACCATGCATCTGTTTACTTACTGCACTTACGTGGTTTCCTAATCCTGATTAGTTTCCCTTTTAATCAAATTTACCTGAGATATTAACATTTTGCCCTTTGCCTTGGTTGCTAAAACCTCTAACCACTGGGAAATTTCTCTAAACTCCCTGTCTTACTTAAATATAACCTATTTCTTCAGATTTTATTCTGCATTAAAATTACTTTTACTTCCCCTAACTTCAGTAATATTGAAAATGCTTCTCTGAACCCTCTCCAACTTCTCTATACACCTTCTCAAATGGGAATGCCAAAATGAGGCAAATGTTTAGTGAGCCTGAGAAGGGCAGAGCCCGACAATCCTCCTGCTCACATCTAAGAGATTCTTACTCTTCTTAGTCTTTATGGGAAAAGCATTACTCTTCTATCACTTTTTTTTTTTTTTTTTGAGACGGAGTCTTGCTTTGTCGCCAGGCTAGAGTGCAAGGGCGTGATCTTGGTTCATTGCAACCTCTGCCTCCCGGGTTCAAG